TTGTTTGGCAGGTCCGGGCTGGGGATTCGAACCCGCCACCTTAGGTGTATGTGGCTGGCGCCTTAGCCGGTTGAGCTATAGGTGCCGAGCCCATTACACAGATTCTAAACTGTCACTACTTTGTTTTTATTCTAAATTGTTACTACTTTGTTTTTATTATTGTCGGATGAAATAATATGAGTTAAGGGTAAAATTTGAGTGGTAAAGTCTAGATCTTTATATTTTGAGTGATTTTGGGCCAAAAGACAAACAGGTAAATTTTACGGGACATAATAGTGAAAAGAATGTATTTTTGTTTTGTGTGTATGTGTTTCCCATGTTTGATTAAAACTAACAATACATAAAAAGAAATCGATCAAGAGCTTGCCCCCATGACTCACACCTGTAATCCCAGCTGTTTTGGAGTCCTAGTTGGGTAGATTGCTTGAGCTCTGGCGTTCTAGACCAGCCTGAGTTAAAAAATAGCTGGGCATTGCGGCACACATCTGTCAACTCAGCTGCTGAGGAGGCTGAGGCAAGAGAATCACTTGACCCTAGGAGTTTGAGGTTGCTGTGAGCTATGACTCCATGGTACTCAATCACAGGGCAACTGAGTGAGACTCTTGTCTCCAAAAACAATAAGATCAAGATAAAGGTGTTTTGGCTCGGCGCCTGTAGCACAGTGGTTATGGCCCTGGCCACATATACCGTGTCTGGCAGGTTCAAACAATGACGACAACAACAACAACAACATAATAGCTGGGTATTGTGTCTGACACCTGTAGTCCCAGTTACTTGGGAGGCTGAGGCAAGGGAATTGCTTGAGCCCCCAAGAGTTTGAGGTTGCTGTGATGCCTCAGCACTCTACCAAGGGTGACATAGTGAGACTGTTATCTCAAAAAAATACATGTGTGTGTTTTATTATAAAAAGCAATACTTTATTAGTACTGCCGTTAATGCAGAGGGTTTTTTATCTTCAGGTTTTTTTTGGGGGGGGACAGAGCCTCAAGCTGTCCCCCTGGGTAGAGTGCCGTGGCATTACAGCTCACAGCAACCTCCAACTCCTGGGCTCAAGCGAGTCTCCTGCCT